AATACTGAAATAAATGAACTTTTCCCACGACATTCTAATTTATTGAGATGCACCTGTATATACATATAATAATAAAAATATTACACACACACACACACACAAGTTCAAATGTTTGGGGTCAAATTTTTTTTTGTGTTTCTCTCTTAATCTCACCAAGGCTGCATTTAATTGATCAGAAATAAAATAAAAACAGTTTCTATTGTAACATTTGAAATGTTAATTTATTCATGATGCAAAGATGAATTTTCAGCAGCCATTACTCCATTCTTCAGTGTAAAAAAAAAAAAAAAAACTTTTCGAAATAATAATATTTTCACAGAGCACTTGGGCAAAACAGACTTCTCCGAGATGGGTTTAGAACCAGAAATGAGGATGCTACCACGTACAAGACTGTGTTTAAAATGGAATACTTACATCACAACAATAAAACACTTACAATTATATTAAATAATTCTATCATTTAATAAAATTATATTGTCATTCAATTATACAAATATAACTTGTTTTTATTATTATTATTGTGTACATTGATTATTGGTAATATTTATCAAATAAATGACAATAAACAGGACAAAAGTTTGGAAAATTTGAGTAATTACAGGAAAAAAGCAGGTGTCTAATTGCATATCAAATTATGAACCAAAAGCAAGATTGCACAGTATTAATGGGTCATTTGTTATTTGCAAACAAGTTTTTTTATTGCAATATTCCTTTAAACTCATTCAGTACATAATGAATGAATTTAGACCATCGGTAAGGTAAATGGTACCTTATCTTTGTTTATCGGTTTAAGTTCAGAGCCAGTTCTCTGTAGTCCTTCAGGAGAACCGCTCCACAGCTGTCAGATGCAGAGTTACAGTGCCTGTGCTCACGCTGCTGTAGTAAAGCACGTGATCGGCTGAGCAAAAGGCATTTTCAAGACTGACATTTACATGGATTTGTAAGAAACCTCATTAGGTGAAACTAAAAAAACTCTGGTGGTCTTGTGTTGACAAATGAACCTTTTGTCATGTTTTACACGTCACATCACAATTCCAGAACTCTGGTGAAGAGCAGCACGTAGCCATTCGGGTCAGGAACAGAAATTTGCTAATTTATTATATTGCACCACAATAAATTTTAGTATTGCAATAATTTTCCGTACCAGTATACTAGGAAACTACAATATGATAAATATCCAGCTAACAAAAATATGTTCTAAGAACGTTTCTATAAAGTTATATAGACATTTCAGAATTTTCCCAGAACGGGAAATAAATTAAAAAAAAAGTTAGATGAACGGCCAACTGAAGTGTTTCAGAAAAAAACATTCCATGCATAATGTATAAGTAATGATTTTGTGCCAACATTGAGAACATTATTAAATACAGATAACGTTACAGGAAGAACATTTTTTTCATAACTTTGCCAGAACATTAACCAAAGGTCTAAGTATATTCCCTGTTAGCTGGTTATGCATAAAACTTTTTTTTTTTTTAGTGAGATAGATATGTGGGGGCGTGTTAGAACGAGCCGTTTTAGGGGGGCGTGGCAGAGTCTTAACTTTGATAAAGAATCTCTTTGGTTTTGAGACTTTAGTCTTTGCAACTTCTGGGATCTTATCTATGCACAATCAGCTTGTAACAATCCAAAGAGAAAGGAAAACTTGAAAACGCATCACATGACCCCTTTACAAGCTGCCCAAATGTTCACGCAAAAGGCGTAACTTTATTGTTGCTGCCACCGCCATTTTTATGAAGACCCTGTGTGTTTCGTTGCGAAAGCGAAAATACTTTGTTTGGCCTTCCAAAAGAGGACACAACTAGAAATCAGTGGTTAAGTTGTATATACAACACTGTTCCAGAACACTTCAACCCAAATATTCAGATGTGTGCAGCACATTTTATGAAGGACTGTTTCCTGATCCTGGGAGATTAGACTATAATGCCGGCTGTTCTGACTCACAGTCTGCAAGTAAGTTTTCATAAAGAATTTGCCACTGATGATTCAAACGTGAGTTTTGAGCAGTGTAGAGTAGCGCTTGTTTGTCATTTCTCCAATCACAAATGCAGACATGGTTTTATGTTTGCGAGGCGCGATGCAATGTGTAAAAAGTCATTATAATCTGCAATTATGTTCCCACTGGATGATACAAATGCCTCGTGTATAATGGGTTTGGATGTTTTGGTCTCGTCGCTCTGGGACACGGCATCACATTATGGTGATGGGTGTAACATTTGTCACATGCTTGAGGTATTCGGCCAATCACAACGCACTGGATAGCTGGCCAATCAGAGCACACCTCGCTTTTCAGACCAATGAGCTTTGAAAAAAATCTACGCGTTTCAGAAAGGCGGGGCATAGAGGAGAAACAATATTGTACAGTATGTAGAAAATAATGTGTTTTTTTAACCTTAAACCACAAACATTTAATTACACCAAATACTCAAAATAATGTTCTTTTTAACAACATCATATGACCCCTTTAACAGACACATTGAAAACACTAATTGCAGAAAGAATCTTTAAAATCATACTTGCTACAGGTTCCTCCATTACGGCAGGGTTGGTGCTGGCAGGCTGCAGCATCACAGTTCTGAATATTTTGGCCTCTGATTGCTTCCCCTACCACATACAGCTCTTTGGAGCCCATCTGCAGCTCATGTATGCAGCCAATGAAGCCAGAGACATTCCCAATGTTGTGGTGCAGCTCGGAGAGGGATGGAACGCCACCAAGGAATGTGGGGCCGAACACCACCTGAGCGTTGGGAGGAAGAAAGTTGACACATGCTAACAATAATGACTCTTCTCTTGTTAAAGAGATTCATGTTAAATTAGCCTGCATTTTAAAATACAATACGGTTCAAAATATTGGGTTGGTAAGATGTCTTTTTAAAATTTTTAAAAAAAAAGTGTTGTATGCTCACTAAGGCTGTATTTATTTAATGAAATTTACAGTAAAACTGTTATATTGTAACAATTATATTATTTAAATAACTTGTCTATTTGAATACATTTAAAAAAAAATGTAATTTATTCTTGCAGCAAATTACCATTACTCCAGTTTTCAGTGACACATGAACCTTCAGAAGTTATTCTAATATGCCGATTTGCTGCTCAAGAAACATTTCTTATTATCAGTATTGAGAATGGTAGAGCTGCTTCATATTTTAGTAGAGACCGTGATACTGTCACCGTTTAACCATTTAATGCATCCTTCTTGAAAAAAAAAAGAAAAGAAAAAAAAAACACCGACCTAAAACTTTTGATTGGCAGTGTGTGTTTTGGGATAGTAAAGTGTTAGATTTTGGCAAAAAGCTACATATTGTAGGTTACAATACACTTTATTCTTTCCTACACAAAGATTACAGTGTGCAATAACTGTTTTGAAGTCAATGGCTCTTATACCTTGGAAATTATAATTAGAGATAAAAGCAAAGTTTTTAGCTTTGAAAGGATTTATGTGGAGCTGCTACAGTAGCTTAAAGGACCTTTTGCTGCTGTATGCATTTAGCAATCATTGTTCATTCATTTAGGTCAAAAGCCAATTATTCTTTTGAAAAAAAAAAAAGTTGATTGGTTTTGATCAAGACAAGACATCTTTCCAATAAAATAGGTGACTCCGTCCGAGATATTTATGCCTTTATCATCTATTCTTGCTTATGTTGGCTGGACAACAAACTTGGTACAACCTTTTAAAAGATGGAAATTATAATTAGAGATAAAAGCAAAGTTTTTAGCTTTGAAAGGATTTATGTGGAGCTGCTACAGTAGCTTAAAGGACCTTTTGCTGCTGTATGCATTTAGCAATCATTGTTCATTCATTTAGGTCAAAAGCCAATTATTCTTTTGAAAAAAAAAAAAATAGTTGATTGGTTTTGATCAAGACAAGACATCTTTCCAATAAAATAGGTGACTCCGTCCGAGATATTTATGCCTTTATCATCTATTCTTGCTTATGTTGGCTGGACAACAAACTTGGTACAACCTTTTAAAAGAAAAAAAATCTTAAGACAAAAGTATCTTATTTTTCATCAGCCTTCTCTTGCTTCCCCCCCATCTCCAGCAACTGCCCAGTAACAACCCCTTAGCAAGCACATGTATACATATATAACCGGTTTCAAAGTACACAAGGCCTATATAGCTTTCAAACATCACTTCATACCATCTAACTATTCAAACTACACAAGGCCTACAGAATCATAAGGCTTACAACTAACCTTCAAACTGTTTTAAACTTTCTGATTGGGCTTCAAAAGTTTGTCATCTAATTGGCCATTTGACAGACATTGATAAACATCTCCCATAAGGCCTCCGGTGATTTTATTTTATGCAGCTCTATAAATGGATTTGTAAGGCCATTTTATTCTGATTAAGTATCTTATGGTCTGTTGAAAGTGTCTGATTATTGCAGCACAGCACTCTCTGAGGTTCTCATCAATTAGGACACAAACCTATTTAACTTGAATGATCAAACTTATTATTTTTGCAACAAATATCATTACACCTGCTCTCAAGACTGAGGTGCCTTCTTTACAAAAATAACGGCATAGCCTACCCGACTGCAAATATATTATTTTCCTTTACAATAGCCAAAATGCTGTGTGTAAATGTGGGTGTGATAACTTTTAACCCTTCTTTTGTATGCATGCATAATATACACATTTTTGAAATTTCTATAATTTTCTTTTAAATTGTTCTGATGTTAAAATGGTTAAAGTAAATCAGACAATTCATAGATAAATTATAGATAGTCACAGTTATTCAAATGATCGAATATGTAGAAGCAGGTTTACCTCTGACACAGGCTGATCCATATATTTCTGCTGCCGATTAGCAGTTCCATTAGCAACAGCTATTTCAATGATACAGAGCTGGTCATTGTCACGAGATGGCAATGCATATCTAAAAGAAAGCAAGAAAGAGAGATACAGGGCATACACTCTAAAAAATGCTGGGTTGTTTCAACCCAATGTTGGGTCAAATATGGACTAACCCAACTGTTGGGTTAAAAAGCTAATTTAAAAATGTAAC